CAGTATATTTAAGTAGCAAGTTTCATGAGATTTTTTGATAATAAATGTCATGCAAAATTGAATGTCTTCTTTTTCAGAGTGACTTTTTATGAAATGTTCATGGTTTATACATATATTACTTATACGACCAAACTTTCTTGAAAAACTGGTTTTGTGCCTCATTTTCATTTTATCTACAACAGTCAGAGTTTAATTATTATAGTAAGATAGAAACATGACCTTGTTTGGTTTAAATTAAATTATACAGACTTAAAGTTGCATGCCTCTAGATGAACCAAAAAGAAAATCTACTTCGACTAAAATGTACGAAAAGGAAAAATATTCACAATTCAAGAGTAATGATTTATATGCGTTGGTGCAACATAAAATAACTCAACAACAAAAAAAATCCCATGAAACAACAGCTTGACTTTGACTGTGTTTGAACCAACGTGGGTAAATAACTACTCTGACTGGCCAAACTGCCAGCACTCAGTTGGATATTTACCATATGCTTAAGCAACAACTTTTTACTGATCAATTGAACAATTCTAATAACCTGCAAAAACAAGCGCAACTGGACTTATACTCTTTGTATTTGCATATAACAAAAGTAAACTCCATTTAATGAATTACAAGAAATTACTGCGATTCAACATGGGAAAAGATGTGTTAAAGATTGTCTAGTTGTTTTCCACCAACTGTAATCAAAACTTAAATTTCCACGAACTTTAGTGAAAAAACTAAAATTTTCACAGACTGGTTAAATGAAAGCTTCAAATTCTAGACATTAGAAATTTTCAGATTAAAAACGAAATGAATCTTGTGTAATCACTGAAACTATCATACAGTTGCAATGTTCATGCCAAGATCAAACAGTGAGATAAATCTGTTGGCCTAATTGTGTCTGCGAATGTTGAACCACTGATGTCTTTAGGTTGACAGCAAGATTGAAGATACTGGCTGACTGCAAAAAAAAAAAAAATATTTCAACACCTTAGTGCAGCAACGGTTTAAGTTCTTCTCAATGTAATAGGAGTTAACCAGTTATGAACTAATGTGTTTCAGATATGGGTTTAAGAGACCAGTCTTGTCCTCTGCAAAAGAGGCAGAGGCAAGAGTAAACAATTTATTTGTATTCTACCTCTTTCATACAAAGTATGCAATATCCAAATCAAGTTATGAACTTTCAGGTCTGACCTGAAATATTCTAAAGAGGGTCTGTCAGGTACCAGCAGCCATATACATGTATTATATATATGACCTTTTCGGTAAAAGCCAACCAAAAATTAATAACTTTATCTGGATTGACAACTTGTTTTTATAACATAAATTATGCTACTTTTTGCATGAATTTCACATGGTCAAGTACGATTTGTGACTGTTTGTTTAATGGATGTAATCCCAAACTCAGCAAACGTGGGTTTTCCCCCATCTAATACAGGGGTACAAACAAACTTTTACTGTTACAGCTTCATGTTGCAGATAAAATGTTGCACTTAATTATTGATAAATTCACCAAGTTGTAACAGTAAAATTTTCTTTGAAACACAAGATAAGATGGGAAAAACTCACATTATGCCGAATTCCGGAGCATCACTGCAGCAAGTAATCACCTACATCTCTACTTTGTGATTTTTAGCAATTGAATTATATGAATAGGGGGCATAATGGTATTAAGTAGGTTGTGTTGAGTTGAAATGTCTTTATAAGATTCCAAGCATCTTGTGTGTAAGTAATTTCAGGGTTGACGGCAATACTACAGTAGCTTAATTTATGAAATAAAGAATAACTTACAACAGTTTGACCCTCAAATTGTCAGATAGTTTGTTCGTGAAAAGTCTGTGTTAAAAAGGGGGTGAAAGGATTCAAAATCATTGGCATATATGTAAAACTTACATGACATAGGTGGTCATGTTTGTCCCAAAGTGTCGTTTAGGGGTACAGGTTGACTGCTTATTAGGTGTGAAATTCTGAAAAATGTTTTCACGGCAGGTTAATTCAAATCATAAGGATAAGATTTATGAATGTATAATTTTTTTCAGTAAGTATTTCATGCCTTTAAGGGGTTGAACTTATGAACTTTTCACACTCGTAACCCCCAAAAAGTTCTCTTTGTTTTAGACTTTTATCTTTTGAAGTAAAGGCCAACCTCAATCCTCTGAATAAAGATCTCAAATTTGATTCCTCCTACCTTTATTTTTTTTAAATTTTTTTTTTACTTTATTTTTTACCATGAGAAGTAGTGTTGCACTCATGAACCAGGGGGGTATCTTTTGTCAAGGGCTGTTACGATTACTCAAATTACACACCTCCTCTATTGTTTGTCACAGGTCTATATTTTTCGGATAGATCTGTTAAACAAAAGAAAGTCTGTTATGAGGTCTATTTTTTGCACGTGCACAGGTCTGCTCTAGTCAAACAGACCCGGTCATGAAAAACACGTGAAAAAATAGACCTGCCTATGCGCATACAAAGACAACATGATATGCAATAGAAAATGAAAATAAAATGTATATGATTGTCATAACATTCCTGTCTATGACTTACAAAATCTGGATGTTTAATGAATGCACTTAGCAATTATTCCAACATCCCTATATCAAATATTTGAATAAAATTATGGACAGGGTATCAAAGTTTTTCAAAGTAATATTAATGTAAGCGGATCTTCTGTCATTAAGTTCACAATGTAACAAAAATAGACGCTTCAAATTCATTTAAAACATCTTAAACGTTCTAGAAAATCCAAAGTACATAAAAATTGTACCGAAAATTCATATCGAAAAAATATAACGAGAATATGTTTGTTTCACACGAATTTGTGATTAAAATAACGCCCATTTGAATATACTTTGCATTGGAAACCGCAGCAACCCACTGTTATGTAAACTTATGTTTAGGGCCCAAATAGGACATTTTTTCACTATTTGAGGCCCAAAAAGGGGGGGGGGGGTCGAAAGTGCGTTGTTTCGCGTATATATGTGGTAAAGGGTTAAAAGAATTTTGTATAGATATACTCCAAAACTTGCTATATAGTATCATGCATATACAAGTACTTAAAGTGGATTGGTCTATAATGGGCACATCTCCCATTATAATTTCAAATACCGATAGAAACGGTAAAACTGTATTACTAAATCAATTCTTGATTAAAAGAAATGTTAATAAAGTTATAGGTGATTTAGTATACAAATTTATATGCTGACCGATCATGTTTTATTCGATAACAATTTATAATCTGCTATATAAAATATAATATCGGATCATGTATCTCAGACAACAATATTCATATGCAAGTCTTTCGTAGTCTCCTGGGTATCCGGACATTTGCCCCCTCGGAAGTTTGCTGTGGTGGACATTTGCCCCCTTCATATCCTTGGAAGGGGCGTACATTTGCCCCCCCCCCCAACCCCCCGTTTTAAAAAAGTTGAAATATTCCATTGTTAAATTGATACCAAACTTCATCTCCTATTGTCAAAATTCCGTTGTGCTTCAATACACAAACTTTCGCGCAAATTTGTGAAAACAAAATAACATCCATAAATAAATAAAATAGAACGTTTCCATTGTTAAATTACATACTTAAAATTTATACAAGAGATGCCCTCTGACATATGACAAGTCGCCATAGCAAAAAAACAGGAAGCAAACGTCCGAGGGGGAAACTGTCCGGCAGCAAATGTCCTAGAAACAACAATGTCTGATACGAAATACTATCAACATAATTATTCATTCTTTTACATACCTTCCATTACAGACCCATTGACTTTATTATTGACAAATTACACACTTAGCTTTTTTATCATTATTTTAAAGGGAAAGCAGAGTTAAATGCAAATTATATATTTAAACCGAACGTTAATAAAAGCTTACTTGTATATGCGCTGTGTTAAAAGTAATCTTTGTGCATTACATCAAATGCAGCTCAAGCCAATAGTTTAACGGTGTGTAAGTTGGATATCGGCCTCGTACATCGATCTTTCTGTTTAGGAAAGACCTCGTACTCGGTCGATATCCTATACTAATCGGATATTGGTAATTCAAACCTAGACTTTCATTTGTCCTATAAGGGTAGGCCACTTAAAACAAGACCCATAATTCTAAAATTGACTTTAACTGAATTTTTTTCCCTTTTGATTATGCTTGCTGGATATGTCCCATTTACCTTAGAAGGTAGCTCTTGACAGTCAGTCCTTAAAATTACCTGACTCCTTGTCCTCCCTTTTTTTTTCTTTTGAGTCCTAAAATTTGAAGGTTGCTGGAATTCTTTTCTTAAAAAAAATCCAAGATTTAATTATAAACTATTCATATGCTCTATTTCTTTGGTTTGAGGGTAAAAACTAATAGAACAGACAGACCTTGCAGGAGAAATTGTTGAACATCTTTGTAAACCAGGTAACTTGTATTGTTGATGTATATCTTTTCTTTATCACTCCAATAGCATTCTGTGTATATATACCTTCACTATATAAATATTGGATTAATTTCTTCTCTTTTTTTTCAAAGGCAAGAAAATTGAGAAGAAAAAAAATTGGATTATTTGTGAATTATCTAAAAATATTACTAGTACATTTCTTTTTTGGAATTATTAAAGTAGGCTTTTAATTGTGAAATATTTAATGTTGTGTTTAATAAATTATTAATTGGATATATATTTAAAAAGAAATATTAATTTTTATATTTTGAATAAATCTTTTTAAAGAAAATTGGGAGTTTTTTTTCAGTTTTGATAATTGTGTACATGTATAAAAAGTCCTAAAGTGACATTTATATTGTTGTTTTTTCTTTGTTTTCTTAAGAAACAACAAATTAAATTGATGTTGTTAAAATGTTCTGTAATACTGACTTAAGAGTGTAGGGTTTGTTATAAATAATTATACGAAACTAGCTTTTGTTTAATTGTGAAAACTTGTGATGTGAGAGAGAGAGTGGATGACAAATGAAATTGTTCACGGACCACTGATTTTCTCTACCTCCAGATATTTATATATATATACAGTATACAATATATCAAGTGGTTTGTATGAGTTTATTTCTTGCTAGATGAATATGTGAAAATACTTGAAACTTAGTGTCGCATTAATTATTTAAGGAGGACTTGATACATCATTATTTGTGTGTTATTTATACGTACTTGATTCACGGCTTGGTTATTTACTGGAATTTATCGGGGTATCGCAACCACTGACCATTTCTGCGCTGTGTCGGGTCTTGATAAAATAGATCTCTCTCTATTTGAAAATAATATTGGATATTTTCATCCTGTAATCAAATTGCGAGGAAAGTTTCATTCTGTTAATAAGGTAAGTTGCAGATTAATACTGTTTTAGGGAGGAGGGGTGGGGGTTGGAAATTTATAGCCGTCTTTTTTTTTGTACTTAACCCTAATGACTTAATTATGTTTATATGACATGACCGATTTACCTGGACAAGCAAGGTTACTTTTTATTAAACCACAATCATAATGTTCAGATCCTGTTGTGGTAATGATATAAGTGGGTGTAAACATATTTGGTAGTATTGTAGTTAAAATAGCAAATTTTGTGAAAGTGAAAGGACATTTTTGATGGTATTCTATTTCATACAACTTTTCATATATCGTAACTATGATTTTTTTCCTTTCTTATAACTATCTGTAAAATGAAAAACTGTTAATTACATGTACCGAAACTCGGATGTTATCTTAACCTTCAATTGTGGTAATATCGTATCAATTTTAAGTGTGTTCAGCTTGGTGAATCAGTAGTCATTAAAATAAAAATAGATTTTATTGTCAGAAGTTTATTGCTTTTAAAAACTGCTTGTATGCAATACTGAGAAAACTGTAGTGACTGTTGGGTGTCATAATTTGCTATGTCAGTTTTGTATTTATTTTGCTATGTACTATCTTATTATATTTGTTTGTTCAGAAACAAAAGCATTTTGTCCTGAAAACATGAAGAAACCGTATATTATAAATCAAAGCCCTAAATATAACCTGTGTGTAGGAAGAGTGTTGTAATGAATGGATGTAAAAATAATCATTATACTTTGATATAAATTATCTTTTTCTTGCATACTCTGATAGATAATTGTGAATCTTTACAAAAAGGAATATAGAAGTTCATTAGGGCTTGTAGGCTAAATTTGCCTCCATTATTATTGACTGGATTTTTTTTGTCTTCTCCACTGTTTTGTTCCTCCTTTTTCCCTCCTTCTGAAAGCTTTTTAGCATAACGTTTTTTTATTAGAAAATTAGATATTTTAAATCAAACCATTCTTCATTATCAGTTTTTTAATTAGAAGGAGGAAATCCCACATAACTGGCGCACTTTTGGTAGTACCTGATTAAAATCTCGAGATATTAAAACACATAAAACTCCCAGAACAACCAAACTTGAAGAAATGTTAAAGAAAATAAATACTCTCCAAAAAGGAAACCATGAATAACCTGCTAATATATTATTATATTAACTTTCTTTTGGAAGAGATGGAAATAAAAGCATCAGGATCAATTAAGATTTTTCTAAATGAGCTTGAGATAATGCTAAGATAAATTTCTACATTGTGGGAGTTAAGCTGATGTTTCCTGGAAACTCCTTCCCCGTCTTATAAATAAGTAATGCATAGACTTTATAAAAACTTTCCGCCTACAACATGGAATTATTTTGGTGCTGCATAAGGAATAAGAACAAAACTTATGAGAAAGCTGGGGGCATTACTAGTATAAAAGAATGTTTTGTGTGGTTTATTGTTATATTTTCTCTCATCTTTCCATAATGTTCACTCTTAGTTTTCAGTAAAATGTACTTTCAGTTTGGAAATGGCAGTATGTAGATTAGATAACCAATTAAGTTACTTTATATCAGTGTTCTAAATTTGCATATTCTAATAACTAGTTGTATAAGCATGACTGGTAGGGTCTTTAGCTTGCCTTATTCTTTAGAAAAAGAATAATTTGTACACAATTCTTTGTCACTTTTCATTGTTCGACACTATTTATTTATAAGATTATCAAAATAAGGGCACTAACTCTTGCAATTTGTCTTTTGACATATTTATTTCCCTTTGGGCTAAATCGCATTTTATAAGATTATTAGAATAAGGGCAATAACTCTTGCAAATTTGTCTTTTCACATATTTATTTCCCTTTTGGGCTAAATCGCATGTGTAAACATTTGGTACTCGTGTATAGCTTATGTCATCAGAAGAGTGATGCAGTCAAGGGCTACAACTCTGCATTGATTTTTTTTCTTTTTAAGTTCTGAAGAAATTGCAATATTTGTACTTGTATCTTATAACTTTTGGGTTAGAGTTAAGAGATGTTGAAGAAAGAGTACAAATTTAATATTCTATTATTCATTATTATAACTGAGGAGGATTTCCATTGAATTTAAAAGAAAATCATTTTGTGTCCTGTTATACGAAATATAGAAAGATGTTATGTAAATTTTAACAACCTTACACCCAACCCACACTAAATTGACTTTGCCTACCCACACTAAATTTGTGTTTGTTTAATAACAATAATTATTTGTATGATCTTATATGTGATTACAATACTAAGTTACAAATTAGTAAAAATGGAGACCATGATACTTTTACTGATCTGTCAGTTTGTGAATTATTCCTTTGTTTCCTCAACCAATCATACACGTTGGTTTCCAGTTTCAAATTTTATAACCTCAAACCCAAAAGATATAGTCTCAGTCTCAGTGTACATGACGTAATCAGACAACTCTATGCATTATTTATTATTTCGTTCTTTTTTCTCGGTCCTTTATCTGTGGTATCAACCATCAGAGAATTAATAATGTTTGCATTACATGATGTTACAAATTAATCAAATCAATCCAGATTTCTGTGATGCCAGCACCTGTTTTTTTATTGCATGCACTTAAAAGAAATCTTGTACGGTCATAATTCTTTGCTCTTTCATACTGACTATGAATCAGCATGTCTGTCCATCTGTTGATACTTTATACTTCGAGGGGTTTCTATGGCTGAGTGGTTTGATGACATCAGATTACTGGCCTCTCACTACGCAATCCGGTATATCCAGTTTTGCTCCCCTTCAGTATGTCCCATTTTTGCTCTCTCTCAGTTAAGATGTCACATTTTGCTTCCCCTTGGTATACTACATTTAACTTTCACTAATTATTTCCCATTTTGCATCCTCTTTTAATATCCCATTTTGCTTCCCCTTGGTATTTCCCATTTTGCTTCCACCCAGTATTTGCCATTTTGCTTCCACTTGGCATATTCCATTAGCTTCCCCTCAGAATTTCCCATTTTTTTTGCTTCCCCGAGGATTTCCCATTTTGCTCCCCCAGAATTCCCATTTTGCTTTCCCCCAATTTTTCCCATTTTGCTCCCCCAGTATTTCACTTGCTTCCCCCCAGTATTTCCCATTTAGCTAACTCCCCTCAGTATTTCCCATTAGCTTCCCCTCAGTATTACCCATTTTGCTTCCCCCAGTATATCCCATTTTGCTTCCCCTTGGTATATCCCCTTAGCTTCCCCTCAGTATGTTCAATTTTTGCTTCCCCCAGTATTTTGAATTTTGCTATGCCTTGGCATATCCAATTAGCTTCCCCCTCAGTATTTCCCATTTTGCTTTACTTTGGTAAATTCCATTTTACTTCCCCATGGTATATCCCAATTATAGCTTCCTTTCTTGCAGGAACAATTAATCAAAATTTTGTTTCCACTTTTAACTGTTAAAGAGCATTGATCCTGATGGTCTGATGAACCATTGGCTTGATGCTATATGTTTAAGGTTTAGAAGTAACGATCATTGTATTATTAGATAGAAATGGTGTTTTGTTGACATCTATCATTCTTGATATATATGAAAAAAGGGATTTCATAGCATAGAAATTAACGGGGCATTGATTCAGTGGTCTACTTGTATGTACTACTTGTATGGTCACAAATATTTCATTGCATATATAAAAGGGTCACTTAGGGGGGAGGAGGAGTGATGTCCCCCCCCCCCCCCTTTTGAATCTGTTAGTGATACAATTACATTTCAACCTTTTCTTCTGAGAAAAAAGGTAATGATCACAGGTGAATTCAATAGATTGTAATTATTATACGTCATTAACCATTTTTGATGCCTTGATTTTATCTTTGTATAATTTATCTCAATGCAACAATTTTGACATGATGAAAATAAATGAAAAGTAATCACACTGTATCTAATCAACAAAAACATAATTAGATCATGCCATCATGCCATTGTGTCAACATGGTAGATTACATAAATTGATTGTATCTGTACATCCCATTAGAATTGAAATAATATTTATTGTAAAAATCCTGCATGCAGATCCACATTTCCAAAATCAATTCATTATTTAATGGGACATGGTCATAAAGTTTTACTGTAAACAGTGTTTTATTGGTATGTGAGAATATTTTGTGTTCCAATGTTTGTTTTTATTCCGAAGTAAATTCAGTGTCTATTTGATGTCATTAATATTTCATCATTAAAATTATTATCTCTTTATAAGCCTATAGCAATGTTATGTGTCTTCTGTTAACTAAATACAACCAAGTTGTTCACTGTTAACACATTAAAATCTAGTTGTCCACTGCTATCTAATTACAATCAAGTTATCCACTGCTATCTAATTACAATCAAGTTGTCCACTGCTATCTAATTACAATCAAGTTGTCCACTGCTATCTAATTACAATCAAGTTGTCCACTGCTATCTAATTACAATCAATTTGTTCACTGTTATCTAATTACAATCAAGTTGTTCACTGCTATCTAATTACAATAAATTTGTCCACTGCTATCTAATTACAATCAAGTTATCCACTGCTATCTAATAACAATCAATTTGTTCACTGTTATCTTATTACAATCAAGAGGTCCATGCTAATCTAATTACAATCAAGTTGTCCACTGCTGTCAAATTACAATCAATTTGTTCACTGCTATCTAATTACAGTCAAGTGGTCCGCTGTTTACACATTATGTTCACAACAGTCTTCACATGAATGCAATAAAAACAATTGTAAAGACATCTTTATCATCAGTGGGAAGAAACAAGAGATCTTTATTTACATTAACCGCCATGACCAAGTTATATGAGGACCCCTATTCCCCCACTTAGTGCCCATTCAAACTGACAGACTACTTGGAGTTGGGGGTGGTGGGGTGGGGGTAACCCTATGAAAATTTTTGGAAAATTGTTGGCTTGAGCAAAGATATCCCACACTTCTACAAGTTCTGTAGTTTACATTGATATTCTAGAATGGACATGTTGTCTATTTACTTTCATGGCAGCTCTCTATTTACATGAACAGTGTAT